ATGCAAAATAAGATAATAGTTTTGCAAGGACAAAACTAAAGATTAAATGATCCCCAAATTCCAAAATGGAAAGTTTTCATACCACTGCACCAGATGCTGGCTGCACAATCCATGCATATTCTGGACGAATAAGCCGTAAACAATTGATAGCAGCCAGATAACAGTTGCCTTGCTTCTCAAGTCCCCGGAGAGTTCGAACCTCTCTGCCAAGACGCATTCCATATTCAAACATCACTGTGCCAGCTATGAGGCAATAATAAATTAGACATAAGAATTTAAAAAATGTTTCCTTAGAGATACATACAGAGGGCCAGGCATGGTGGTGCATACACATGAGAACACTTAACAAAAGGTTAAGATGGCAATTTTATGCTATGTGTATTTCAACACAGTTTGAAAAATACGGGAAATGTTATTGTTGATCTTTTAAAGTTTTCACATTTTAAAAAGTTTTATTTATTTAAAATTTTGTAGTTGTAGATGGACAGCATACATTTATTTTATGTTTATTTTTATGCAGTGCTAAGGATCAAACCCAGACAGAGCCTCACACATGGTAGGCAAGGGCTCTGCCATTGAGCTACAGCCCAAGTTTTATTTTTAATTGACAATATTTATGGGGTATATTATGATGTTTCCATACATGCATACATTGTGGAATGAGCAAATCAGGCAAATTAACATTATCTGTCACCTCAAGTATTTATCATTTCTTTGTGATGAATTTTTGGCTTTTAGATACACCCCCATACCAAATGTAGTCTAGCTTTTTTTTCGGGGCAGGGGACAGTATTAAACTTAGGGTTCGAATATACTAGGTACGCACTGAACTATATACCATGTCTTTTTTTTTTTAGTGGAATTTCTTAATAACTTTATTTATTTATATATTTATTTTTATGTGGTGCTTAGGATTGAACCCAGTGCTTACATGCTAGGCAAGTGTGCTACCACTCAGCCACAACCTTAGCTCACATCCCATGTCTTTACTGAGCTACAAAACACCATTCATTACATTGAATGAGATACTAAAAAATACATTATTCTAGGATAGCAAGGGACTCCAGGGCATTTAAAAATCATACTTTTTTGTTTTCATTAAAAATACCCTATAAAAACCAAAACAAAAAGTTTTTTTTTTTTCTTTTCTTTTTTTTTTTTGTGGTGCTGGGAATTGAACTCAGGGCCTTGTGCATGCAAAGGCAATAGCAATAAATGCAGGAACTATACAACACAAGGAAATGGGCATATACGAATGCATCTACCAACTGAGCTATATCCCCAGCCCTAAAAACTGCACTATTTAAAAAAAATTTTACAGCAAATATTTTTTGAGCTCCTGTAATACATAAGACACTATGTTAGAAGTACAGTCTCTCTCTCATCAGGTGCGGTGATGTAGGCCTGAGATCCCAGCAGCTGGGGAGGCCGAGACAGAAGGATCATGAGTTCAAAGCCAGCTTCAGCAATTTAGCAAGGCACTAAGCAACTCAGCGAGCCCCTGTCTCTAAATAAAATACAAAAT